TGGGAAAAGAATATCATCAGTTTAGTAATTGTCAGGATTTGTTTGTGTGGATGGTGCAATTTTGTACTTTGGTCTGATTCTAAATGATTCTGTGGATCATAGCAGTTACTAACATGCACTGAAAGGGCCTTCAGGGAATGGGGCTCTGTTTCTGAGTAAGGACCGGGTTGTGCTGGTGGTGTTCTGAAAGGGTTAAGAAAGTGGCAATGATAAGAAAGGGAAGGAGAAGGCCAAGAAAATAGAGTCCTTATCTTTATGGTGATGTCCAAAGAGCCAGAGATACCACATTTTCTTATAATGATAGTAAATCTTACATCCTGCCTTTATAACTGGTCGCAGCAGAAATTTGAGTTTTGTTATAAAATGGAAAAAGAGCTGAGTTTTACAAATCACTGATTAAAAGAAATCCTTTCTCTATAGTATTGGGTACAGTAGTTCTTTGACCAAGTGATACACTTATATCTGGATTATGCAAATTGGTAGCTCATGAGCTGGGTCTATCTACCTTGGGGTGTATTTTATTTAGCCTACACTATGTGTATGAACATACTGTGTTACAACAAATGAGTCAGCTTTTAAAAATCTAAGAGCTTTAACACAAAAATCTTCAGCATCCCTTGAAATTTGGATGATCTCACCACAGGTCTGGACTGAGTGACAGCACACCCCTTAGATTCTGCATTCTCCAGCCAGCATCTTACACTTGTTTCCTCCTCGATCTGGTTGCTGTAAGCATGAGCCAGCCTTTACAGAGTCATTTTGAAGATTAAGTCCTGGTGATATAGACTTAATTGACTAGCAAATCAACCAAAAGTGGCTTGATTTCCCCTAGGTACAAAATGATCAGAAAAGTGATCTGCATATGAAATGTCCATTTATGCCATTTTCACTATGCCCTAGTTCAGGCGTAGGAGTCATAGGTTTAGAGAAAATGCCTTTAGGTAAAGAGGTGCTCCCAGCCTGATGAGAGGAAGAGAGGAAAATCCATGGCTACTGGGATTGAAAGAGGACCTGTGCTTTACTTTTGATATCCCCTGGTGTTGGGGGGTGGGGGTGGGGAGGAGCTGTCTGGGCAGAGAGAACCATTGATAGCTTCCCCACAGAAGCAGCAAAGACCTAAGGACCTATTGAAAGGCTACCATATACCTCACAAGCAACCTGTCTGAATGGTGATTGAGGACAGGGTACTCTACTCTCCACATTCTTCTCCATGCCTTGGCTTGGCAGAAGGTCCTAGAACTCTGACAGACCCTATTAAAGAGGGAACTCAAAGACAGCTGGTATTAAGTTGTTCACAATCTCAGAGAATTGGTGCTTTGAGTCAGAAATAATATAGAATTATTTACACACCTAGAATTGTGGACTGAGATTCATGCTAAGTATATTGTCAAAGAATACACTTCTTTTAGTGAGGTAAATATA